TGTTTATTTTCCTGGAACAACTATCTAAGGCCTTGTGTCCACAGGAATATTGCACAATGTAGCAGGAGTTACTGTCTACAAATTCCTGCTGCTCACACACCATGGCCATCTTAAACTATTAAGAAACCATGGGAATAGTTTTGCACGGTAAAGTCTTAACAGCTCAGCTTTGCTGCGCGTGTGCAGAGCGCGCGTGTGTTGTATGCACAGCAAGTCCAGCCTTCCTGGAATTGTGTAAAGGCTTCACTTGCTCACCTGCTTGCCCGCGGAACGGCTGACTTGCATCACTAAGCGTGAGGTCCCCAAGACCATCTCTACGTTACTGATGCTGCCTTTTTTGTTTCTTTTTTTTTTTTTTTTTTAAACAAAGTGTTTGTGATCTGAGAAGAGGTTTCTGTGTCACCCTGCGTGTTTACCTCTGCTCTGTGCTGCTTCCAGAGTCATCTTTTGAGATGTCACTTCTGCGTAAATACCTGGACAGCTGTAACCGTGCCATTTAAATACATGGTAGTGATGATTTTGTCCTCACTGCGTAACGTCTGTGTGACATCCTTTCTTTCCTTTGCACCATCCTTCGTTTCTCTGTGGGTTCTGACAAGGCTGTAGACCTGACTGCTTTATTCAGTCCATCTGGAGAAGCCATCAGGCTGCCAATGCTTATAAGAGGCCGTTGGAACAAATTGAGGTGAAAGATTACTCGAGCTGTTCTTGGTGTTGAGTCAAAGCACAGGAAATCTGCCAGAAGACCTTGAAGACGGGGGGGGGGGGGGTGTGGGGCGGGGCCCCCCGCTCCTGCCTCTGCTACCTTCTCAGGGCCTAGCTGGCTGCTGCCTTGCTGGGGCACAGCGAGGTGTCCCTCTCCTTTTTGAGCACAAAGGGGTGAACACTTGAGTTTGTTTTGCAGTAGTAAGTATAGCTGCTGGCCACAGGAGAGATTACCATATGCCACTTCCTAAACTGTTCCTCCTGTCTGCTTTGCCACCCAGTGATTGCGCACTCTCCTTCCACAGAAGGTGCAAAGCCTTGAGGCTCTGTAATCAAACTGATTGCGTGGAGCACGTTGTGGCACAGATGCACGAGGAGAAGTCACCGGAAAAGATGTATATCTCATGTCCTGGCTCTTTTGTAAACTCAAGGCTTTGTAAAGTCAAGGCCTCAAACAAAGCTTACAGCAACCTCAAACGAAGCTGCAGGAACACGAGAAAGCTCAAGTTTGCAGCGTTTGTATTTAGAGTACTGCAGCCAAATTCTGTCAGCTACTCAGTATACTTCAAGGGTCATCCGTAGGCGTCAGCGAAGATCTCAAGACAATAATAGTGCTCTATTTTAGCATACTCATTACAAAGTATAACTGCCCTCTGCCTCTAGCAACTATTTTTTCCTCGTACTCAAATGGTGCAGAAGTGGAAAGGCCGTTGTCATAAGCAGCAGTATTGCCTCTCTGCCTAATGCCCTCATTGTCTTTTCAAATGAGACCTTCTTCTTTCTCCATGGACTCTTAGAAGGAAAATAACCTTCAGCAAAAAGACAGTTTGCAATGGTGTGCTTGTAATTATTGGTGTATTCATCTTGAAGAAAAAGCAATCAAACTAGTAGGCTTTTTATGCTGACGGGGAGCTGTGCTGGGAGATTGATGCCTTTTCATGAAAGGAGACGTCTTTTTGGAAGAAGTTGAAATGCTGTTTACAAATCACGAGAGAAGTAACATCTCACAATTATTAGTGTAGAGTAGGAGTGGGACAGTGGGTTCCTGTCCTCACCCCGATTTCTTTAGTTTCTCTAACTAGTGGGCCTGTAACGTCTCTGAAGAGTGTGGGTTTTGCTGCATGTCTGAATAAAAAGGACAAGAGGATCTTCTGAATTCCTTCCAGCGTCAATGCAGGAGGGGGACGCTTTTGAGTACGTGGCCCTGAAAGCGGCTGTGGTGTGGACGGGAGCCTCTGTAACAGCGGGTCCCCCCACGCCAGGGCAGCTGAAGATGTTCTGCAAAACGCGGATAGCACGAGGAGCTTGAACTGCTGCGCAGCCCCTGTGGTTGCAAGGTAAAGGCTCATGAAAGGCGTCAGCCGCCTTCTGCCCCAGGTGCTGAAGAAGGAAGAACCTTTTTAACATGTTAGTCGGTTCTTAAACAAAGATAAGTGCTCATCTTGCCTGTACTGGTTTTAATTTTACACCCCGTGTGATGTTTTTTTATTCTGCTTTTTCCTGAAGAAGCGACAGTTCTTTGATGTATTCTTATGCCGTATCAAAGCAACTTTAATAAAAAAGTTAAATGAGATGTCTTGATTCGTAATACAACGTTGTCTCCCATATACATATTATCCTTTCCCAGTTAACAGCTTACTCCTGGACTCTGAAGGGGCAAGATCTACCTGTGATCTCATTGCTTTGACCAACTGGGAGGGCTGTTTTCTGACCTTCCCTTTGTCTGTCTATAATCTTCAGAAAAACTCTATACTCCCAGTTGCGTTGAGGTTTCTCTCCGTTGTTTCCCGTAGATGCGTGCAATAAATATTTATTAAAGAGGGATATTCATTCTCTCATACGCAATATAACCTATCCATTAACAATTCCGAAGTGCTCTCCGCTCCTGTTCTACGACAGCCAAGGAGTAAGTAAAACTTCTCCACCCTGTTGTTACCACGTCCAACAAAAGACTTCATGAAGCAGAGCATGCTGAGGATTTGCAGTGTATCCTCCAAATGGTGGAAGGAATCACGACAACCCTAAAGCCTGTAAGCGCCAGAAACATCAGTAGTAACTTGATCAATGTAACACTCCAGTACGGTCTGTAACTCTGCCCCTGGGAGAAGGATCCTTCCAGCCAGAAAGCTACGGTATTTGGGATTTAGGCAGCATGAACTCTTTGGGTTTTTTTTTTTTTTATTTATTTTGGTAAATGCTCCTCAGAACAACACAGCTCATTGCTGGGAAAGGGTTTTTTTTAAAAAAAAAAAAAAAATCTTGTATCTTCCATCATTTCAGTCACTCCCTGCTTACTCGGTATTGCTGAACTCTGTGCTGTCAGAGTGCTGGTCTGTCAGCGTTGTGCATCTCCAACTCGATTCAAAACCAGCCGCGACCTAGGCAATAACGCTTGACTGCAGTAGAGCTTGGTGAGCTTCGAGATAATAATGGCAAGGTACTTCTTACTAAAGGGAAGCAGCCCAGTGAAATAATAGCATTTAAATTCTGGGGTGAAATCTGCATGGGTTTTTAGGAGGAGAAAAAAAAGCCTTTGCCACTCTGAGATTCTGCTGCTAATCTAATTTCTACGCGATTGCCTCCCGTTGCATCAGTCAGTGCTATTTGGTGCAGTGCTGCTTATGGGTTTTGGAAGTGCTGTAGATAAATGTAGCGTGGGAATAATCACTCAACTTCATATTCCTGCTCTTTCTCTGTTAACACATATCACTAGTATTGACAGCTCTGCAGAATGGTAGAATCAAGTCCTTATGTCTACACAGCACCCCAGGCATGTGCATCATCCTGACAGGATAATGAGGCTCCGCCTGTGATGCTCCGCAGCGCGCACGTCCTCTGCGTTGCCAGTAGGCAGATATGAAATGTTACTGGCAAATGTGAATGCAAGTCGGAGGAGAAGTCCTGGAAGAGTTTTAACGTGGTTGCCTGGCCCTGAGTTCCCGTACGGTTCAGCTGGCGTGCCACGGTGCAGTGCGGGAAGAGTCTCAAAGCACAGCGTTCAGCAGCTGATATTTTCTTAGACTACCGAGCAATTAATTTGGGCAAGCACGGAGTTGTATGCATACAGTAATTAACAAGGAAAGCACCTTAGGCCAGCATAACAAGGTGGTGTGGGTGTCCTTCATTTTGAGATCGTTCCTTGTAATTGCAGCAATTTGACTGACTTGATCAATGTAACATCCCTGTATAGTCATGTAAGCATGCTATTAGGCAGGTATTCTTAAAAATAGGTTAAATGCAATGGGCTGTGCCCAAAAAAGTACCTGCCCTAGGGCACCTTATTTCAATAAGAATGTGTAGTCCTGTGTAAACTGTCAGCCATAATCCTTTTTACAGGCCTGACTAAATGCTGAAGCTCTGACATGTAGACCGTTCTCTTCCTTATATAGGGCTGGATAAGTGCTGGGCAGTAATGAGATTGGAATAAAAGGCTTTGGTAACAAAGATGAACTGGCAGTGCCGACTGAATCTTAAACTTATCCCTGCGTATACATGGACTTTAAACAATATGGGCGTGAGCCCTGCTTGCTGAAGTTGGACTTGATGCCTCTGTTTTGGAGCTTCTGCTTGCGAATAGCATTTAGTCGCTCGGGCTGCAGATTCACGCAGATGGAAACCCCTGTACTCTTTAGGTTTGCCTTTATTGCGGTTTAACTGTGTCTGGGGGAAAAAAAAAAAGTCTAGCAGTTACGCATATCAAAACGTTTTTAGTGTAATTCATCGCGATGGTTCTTATTCCAGAATGGCTGGGTTTGTTTTTATTTCATTGGAAGAAGTTTAAGCTGCATTAATAGAAGCCGTTCTGTTCTGGAAGAAGAGAATCTGTGTGGGATACTGAATTAATATAACTTTATCTGGTGTAATTCACAATGTATCTTATACTTTCCTTGTGCAGACCGGATTATTAGTGTTCTGCCTAAAAATATCTGTGGAAGTACTGTTTCATGTGGTCAGATATGGTCAAGGAAAAACGTCATCTCTGCCGCCTTGTCTGTCCTTGATGAATTTATACATCGACAGCTTCAGTGCTAGAAAACCATGCTGGAAGTGCATGAATCAACTGACAGATACTGGTCCTAGAAAGTCTCAGCATAAATGACTGATGTAGGTAAGACGTGGCAGGGATCAAGAGAAAAGCGAAGGCAGCATTTGAAATCGTTTTACTTACTTTCTTGTTTACTCTCTCAGAAAAGACAGGGATGAAATTTGGAAGAGAGAGGAGATTTGAAAGAGAGGAGGCTGGGGGTTGATTGAGAGGGCTGCTTACAAAGAGGCAGTAGAAACGTGAACTGATGGAAAGTCAAGTTGTTCTGCACTGTGGCATCTTCAGGTGACTTAAGCAGTTACTTGATCTGCTCTGTTTTCTTAAAGATACTGCGGCTGGAGGTGGGTGCGCGTAAGGGAAGGGGGAGGTGAGTGGGTGGTTTGATTTTTACCTGGGTGCACCTGAGCTGTTTCTCATAAAGCAGTACAAGTCAGAGTGGGTGAACATGGAGCAACTTAGAAAAATTTTTTTGGATAGTGACTCATTGCAACTTACCCAAAGTGACCTGATTTAGTTAAATGAGGCTAAATATAACCCATGTGAAAAGTACTGACATGTGGGAGGAGACGACAGCAGTTGGCTCTCAGCCTCTCTGTTCTGCAGGGAACATCTTTCACGACTGGTGACTAATAATTTTTACTCTTGCTGGCTTTGGAAATAACGTCTCTGCTCCATTACCCCCTTCTAGGGAGACGAAGAAAATGCGCTGTTCCTAATCTGTTGCCTCTTTATCTGCCTTTCTGAATTTCAGCTTACTGCTATGGACAGTGCTATCACCCTGTGGCAGTTCCTCCTCCAACTCCTCCAAGAGCCTCAGAACAAGAATATCATCTGTTGGACCTCCAACGACGGGGAGTTCAAACTGCTGCAGGCAGAGGAGGTGGCCAGACTCTGGGGAATCCGCAAGAACAAGCCCAGTATGAACTATGATAAACTCAGCCGTGCTCTCAGATACTATTATGTGAAGGTAACAAAGTCCATAAATCCACCTCAAATCCTTATCCATCTTACCAGCTTCTGCCTAATGAGCTTTGTTTCCTTTTTCATTCTCTTCAAGGGGATAGGTGTCACTTCTGTCTCCCAGACTTAAGTAAGGTGTACTAGTTCATGTTTAGAGGGGTTTTTTTCTTCCATTTGTCATGGTGCTGCATTTCCTCCCCAGTGGTTATTTTATAAGGTTCTAGAGAGCTTTGTGCAAAATGTTATCTTCTTTGATTTTTGTCTTTGCTAATACGAATTCGTCTTTGAATACTAATGCCCGTTCCAAAAATATGTGCCCTTGCAAGGGTTAAAATCCTCAACACTCCAGTTTAAGCAGCGGAATGGTGATGATGGCTGAGATGGTGAACATTGCACCACCTTGAGATCTTTTCTGTAATTGCCTCTACGAAGGGGCTATCAAAATAAGGATTTTCAGTGAAGCAGCCCAAAGTATTTTTCTTTTTCTCCATGTATTCAGAATCGCGCCTCTAATGTGGTCAGCGAGTTTGGTCCAGCAGAGTAAGATGCTTCTCTTGTTTTGCTGATGTCTTCTAATAACTTGCGAGAGCCTTTCATCGGTGCGCAGGTAGTGCCAAAAAGCTGAGCTAGAACCACAGTGTGGGAGTCTTACCTTCATTTCAATAAGCCGTTTACCCCACAACTCTTACTGTGTGGGTGCACGAGGTAAAAAATAAAACACGGTTTCTGAGGAACCTGTCAGTTTGTAGCAGGTGGTATGTTGCTTGGAGTTTATTACTGGGTAGCACAAATCTGACTTTGTACCGAGAGGTCTCAGTAATAATAATTGTACGATAAATAAGAATCTTCTTAGGTCCAAATTGTGTGTGACATTTCACTTAGGAGCAATAACAAGTTTGACATATGCTATTTTGTGGTATTGAAATAGCTGATTAGCCTACATTCTGCTGACTAGTTCAGCTACTTATTTTCTTTTATGATCATCTCTTATTAAGAATAAAGGTGGTTTGATTTGAAGTATTAGCTCTCAATTCTGCAAACCTGTAAGCTTTAATTCTGCAGGTTCTCCTGTTACATTACGCTTACTCACCCAGGTCAGTGATCTTTGATGGGGGTAATGGGTATTTTTTTGCTTCTTAGCTGATCTTTTAAAATACGTTAAACAGAATTGCTTGGCAGTTTTAAGGCTGTTGTTAGTATATTTAATGTCAGGTTAAGCACACCTGTTTTAGTGTTTTGTCTGTGAGCTCTGGAAATGATACTTTGGGAGCATAACTGAATTGCAAGAATGCAGGATGTTTTTAAAAAAGAAAAAAGGAACAATTTTTGATGAAAGATTACAGACTGTCTAATTCTTCAGTCTATTTTAGGCAGTGTTTGTAGGAAGAAAATTAATCTGAAGAAGGTCTAAATATATATATCTTCTTACCCACAGAATATCATTAAAAAAGTGAATGGTAAGAAGTTTGTGTACAAGTTTGTTTCTTATCCGGAGATTTTAAATATGGATCCACTTGTCGTGGGCCGTATAGAAGGAGACCCTGAAATGACTGGTTTTGCGGAAGTTAGCAGTGCTCCCAAGGATGTGGAAAACTGTGGGAAGGAGAAGTCTCAGTCATGTGCTAAATCCTCCAGCCGCAATGACTATATCCACTCAGGCTTGTACTCCTCTTTTACTCTGAACTCCCTGAACTCTTCCAGCGTAAAACTCTTCAGGTCCATCAAGATTGAGAATCCAGCTGAGAAACTGACGGAGAAGAAACCTGCTCAGGATCCAACACCCTCTGTCATCAAGTTTGTAACCATGCCCTCCAAAAAGCCTTCATCTGTCCCCCTGGTCTCTACCACTTCAGCGGTCTCTGCCACTTCCACTGCTTCTGCCTCTTCAACCGCATCCTCTCTTCCCATGGGATCGGAAGAAACTCTCCAGACCTTGGAGACGCTTGTTCTACCCAAGTTAACTGTCCCTGAAGCTCCAGCACCTTTGCCAAACTTAACCACCAGCTTCACCCCGACCCCACCCATATCCTCAGTTTCTCCCACTCTGCAAGTTCCCTCCACGCCCCCGTCGCCGCCCCTGAGCTCTAATCCCGACCTGGACATTGACACGGACATAGAGTCCGTGGCTTCTCAGCAGCTGGAGCAGGCTCAGAGCCTTCAGCATCAATCCCCAGAGCCCAAAGAGCAGGATTCATCTGTGCTGGAGAAGGAGTTTGCCAATCACCTCTCCAGATCTAAAAAACCCAAAGGGCTGGAGTTGGCTCCTACTCTCGTCATTACAGGCAGTGATCCAAGTCCACTGGGGATTCTGAGTCCTTCTCTCCCAACTGCTTCTCTTACTCCAGCACTTTTCTCTCAGGTAACCTAATTCCCTTCCTGTTGGGTTTTTTTTTAGTAACAATAGTGGTTATGTTATATTTTAAAACAATAAGGGAAGGCAAGTGGAAAATGAATAGTCAGTAGATTATATTTGGAGTTCTGTCGCTCCCATTTTTCTTATAAAACAGAAACTTTATTCATAATCGGTATTAGCTCCCGCCCCAAAGTGTGCCCAAGTGGTATGTCAGCCGCACACGTCTGTACAGCGTTAGCATGTGGAGGCAAAACCCAAACCAGCACCAGCAGGATCCTTTGTAAATCTCGCCAGGGTGATACTGAATTATTTCAAAAACCCTAAACCCTGCCCTTATCCTTCAGGCTGATTCTGAAAATGCTTTAAAAATAGAGAACCATGGAGGTGTCTGTTTAGCAGCTTTCTTTTGCTTGATTTAGTGGCCATTTACTTAAGACCATAGTATTGTGACCTAACAGCAATAAGAATGGCTGCTTAATTTGGTTGTTATCTTTGTGTGGGAAAAGAAAGCTTTTATGCCTCATGGAAAATTTGGAAGAGAATTGAATCCAACTAGGCTGTTAAATTGTTCTGTATATATTTAATCTCTTTCCTGTAATAAATTGGAATTAGAGTGAAACTGTAATTGAAAACTGAAATGGCTGAAGACAGGAAAAAATCAAGTGTAGTTGCTCTTTTGGCACCCTTCGAGGCGTTTGGCCGGTGAACCTGGAACATCCAGAATATTCAGAAGCTGGATGTAAATGTCTTTTGTTGTGGCTTACATTGCCGGTGTTGCCCGGACCGTGCGTGTGCCCACTGTCTGCTCTTTTTAAATTCACGGACTGAGTTTTCCAGAGTCACTTGCAGGTGCTGTATAGTGAATTGCAGGAGGAGCCGATGTGCTGTAGGTTACAGCAGGATTTGGCAGCCGTCGGGGAAAAGATTTGCTCGGCGAGGGGAGGGACAGCCGGATGACTGCTGCTGCTGTTGTGGGGTTTGAAGGGAGGAGGAGGAGGCGGGAGGAGGGAATGGGAGTTCCTGAAATTTGGACCCAGCCCTCTGCAGCTGTAGGAGCTGAGATTATTGGGGCTGGATTCGCATGTGCTGTGCTTACTCACAGTGCAGGTTTCACACAGCTGACTCTCTTGTGTTTTGCAGACTCCCATCTTGCTGACCCCAAGTCCCTTGCTCTCCAGTATTCACTTCTGGAGTACGCTAAGCCCAGTTGCTCCTCTCAGTCCTGCAAGGTTGCAAGGTGCTAATACACTCTTTCAGGTAAGTTCCAGCAAGTTCAGCCAATCTCTCCCTTTGAGCCACGCTTGTCAGCACCTTCCTCAGAAGACCTGCAGGGATCAGTTAGCCCAAATATCTGATGCAGAAACAAAATAGTGATCTTTCTGTTTTCCATCCCCTATGTTAGCTTTTGAGATTAAACCCAGTTTTATTTAAGTATATTTTAAATGTTGGTATTTCAGAAATGTTAACTATAACACAGACTGCTATTAATTTGAGATAGATTTTTTTTTTTTTTTTTTTTTAGGTCTGTCCTTCCTGTAAAACTTGCCTCCCTGTAACTTTACTGGTTGAGATTTTCCTGGAGATTGAATTTTGCTACTCTATTGGTTGTTTTAATCGTTTGTTAACAGTCTCTTCTGTTGAAAGACATTAATTAAATCTCACCACTAGTAAGAAGGGAGATTGCGTGTGATCTCTATGGCAGTATGTAGCACAGTTCTTCATGATCTCTATATTCTGCTGTCTTCTGATGTTTGGAAAGCCTCAGCTTCACTGTTTTTAATAAATACTTCTGTTTAACTAATACATAAGAAAAAAAATCCCCTATATTTAAAAAAAAAAAAAAATCCTTTAGTTGTAATTACTCATGCTCTTCCTTCACCTTCCACTTTGGAATTGGAATAACCGCATCTGTTGCGTGAGTCTGCTTAGGCAAAGGGTAAAATTTAACTAGTTGTCTTTTGGGTTTATATCTGTCATCTCCATGGAGATGAAGGAAGTAGCTTACATCTACCGTGAGGACAGGGAATAAACAAGTAGGTCTGAAAATGCATTGGACGTTTTTCTCTATAAATAGCTGATAATTAAATGAGGAACAATTTAGACCATGGTTTCCCAACAACCTGTTTTAAAGTCACTTATTAGTTTAGGACATAGGGCGGTGCTCAGTGCAGAGGTTACAGACTGGCTCCTCCTGGTGACACTGGTTATAATGGCTGGATTGGCGCAGTCTGTGAGGCAGTGGCATTTAAAAAGTAAATTACTTGGGGGAAGCCAAGAAGATGCTTTGAAAGTTTGGGGTGGGGTTTTTTTTTGTTGTTGTGTTTTGGTTTTGGTCTTTTTTTTCCTGGGGGAGCTTCTACATGCACAGGCATGAGAGGAACAGTAAATGAAAATGGCCTCTTCCCTAATAATTTTTGTTTTGTCTCTTAGTTTCCATCAGTGCTGAACAGTCATGGCCCATTTACTCTGTCTGGACTGGATGGACCCTCTACCCCCGGCCCATTTTCCCCTGATCTACAGAAGACATAGCACATGAACTCACGGAAAGGACATACTGGCAAGCAAGGGAAAGATATGACACTTATATTTAACCATGTTTTTTAAATGAGCAATTTATAATTCCACAGAGATTATCAACAATCATAGTTTTTGCCATTCCCAAATAAAATGCCTTTTTTGCAGAATTCCCTTTTTTGAAGACCCAGGTTGGGAATGTATATGCAAACGCCTTAATAGGAGCTGAAGCTCCAGTCTCTTCTCTTCCCTCCTTGGTTTGGAAGACTTCACTATGGTTAAAGGGAGTTTCGGTTGGTGTTGCAGTAACTGAGTCTGCACTGATTGCAGTAAACGGTGTCAGAGAAGTCTTTTCTCTGTGACTCTTGGAAAAACCCTCTGTTCTTCTGCTTCCTGTGCTTGGCAAGAAGAAATCTAACCCTGATCGAAGCTGGCATTCCAGGAAATGCTTGGGAAAGGGGTGTGTGCATCAGCTTTGCCTTGGGGCCCGATAACTTCTGCAGCAACAAAACAGCCCGCGTCTTTTCTGCTGTAAAAACATCTTGTCTTTTTTCAGGGAGAAATTTTCAAGGACTATTCAATGATTGCGTTACAGAGATACGGACAATTTTTGAATGGCATTGTATACCGACAGTCCGGCCCCTCGGAGAAGTGGTCTGGCTAGCTTCTGGATGCTTCCCTGCTCTCCCTTCGGTGAGGAGGCAAGGTCTGGAGACGAATGGTGGGATTAGTTCCTTTCAGTTCTCAGAAGGGTTGAATGCTGAAGTCCAAACATTTCTTGTGCCAGAGACCTGTTACAAAGCCTGTAATGTCACTGCTAGAAGATGAGCAGGATGGTGGATTTTACATGAGGTTTTGAGGGTATGTCTGCATTTGGTGAGGTTGCTGCCTGATGCTAGAGTTTCAGACCCAAACAGTGGGTGAGAACACTAACATCTGAGCATTAACTTTACTGCTCTTTTCCCACCGTTGAAGTGGAGAAGCTCCTCTTCTACCAGCTCTTATCTCAAGTTTTGCTTTAGCTCTATTGCCTTTTTTATTTGAGGAAGCACTCGGACCCAAAATAAGTTAGGCTCAGTGTGTACAGCTCGCTGAGAGGGCTACCACGGTGTATCAACCTTACTGTAAATTTGCGCTTGCATTGCTTTTCTTGGTGGCCATGTGTGTATGGATTAACACAAGATTAGTTTCCAGAGCAATTTGAAACACCGATGAAATGAAATTTGTAGTTAGATTTTTACACCTCAGGAGGCCTTTTAAGAGAACTGAGGAATGAAAGGAGAGACTCTCCTCTCACGGCCCCCCAGAGACTGGATGTCTTGGTCTGTTGGTGCTGGGCGGTGTGCCCTTCCACTTTGGGCGTCTGATGTCAGGCAGCAACTTCTGTTTGCTACTGTGTACGCTGAGTTGGTGACGTAAGATAACCTCCATAGAATGCCCACTCGAAAACAGATGGAGACCATCTCTTCTCTTTGGCATCCTCACTGGCTGTCTTCAAAGTTTTGATGAGCAGAGGAAGATTGTACCTTTACAGCAAGAGGAGCTGACGGTGTACGCTGTATATATTGCACCTGTCTTACGGATAAGTGGTGAACTCGAGCTTTCCAGAGTTTTCCTTTTGCCACTTTTGCAGACTCTGAATTCACTTTAAAGCGTATGACGATACCCAAGACTTAATTTACTGCAGTGACGTTATCTTTCTATATTCTAGCATTGAAATATGTAAACCACTGAGTATGTTCCTGACATGACACCCGGACAGGTGGGTGTAATGGAGTTGCTTTGTGGGCATTGTTCATCCAGAAAGTCCCCTGCCCGGTGGGAGGTGGGAGAAAAGAGTATGCCTGTCTGTAGGTGGAGGTAGCAGGGAGTGAGCTCGTGTAGTGAACTGTCTTCCTGTTCGGTGACGGCAGAGGCGTAATACTGCTTCGCGTTTCAGACATCAGCAGATGCGGGATAAAGTTCCTGTGCCAGCGGCTCTTAAAATGACAATGTGCAATATTGACCTTTTTTTTTTTTTTTTTTTTTTTAAAATGCAGAAAGCAAGCTGCAGATCATAATTAAGAGCAGGCATCTGGAATTTTCTGGTTTGCATGATGGCTTACGAGTCTGCTCTAGAAAATATATATAGCTATTAATAAATAGCAGCACTTTTAATGGTTGTTTTAGGTTGGCCAATTTTATGCCCACCAAGCGTGTGGACTTGAGAGCAACATTGCAGACGAGGATTAGAATTTAAAAATAATTAATGAGCACTAAAGACTTGCAATTTAATTGCTTCCCTTTCCTTGTCCCCTATGGAGAAAAGCCAAGTTTATTTGTTTAAAAGTTGTGTATGTGCACACATGCACTTAATTTTTTGTAAACTGTATCACTTTCAGCATAGGTATGCAAGAGAACCAAACGCTAACGTAGCTTGTCAGTCGTGCTTGGCCTAGTTTCATGCTCTTCTCCAAGTAGCTTCGTTAAGATTGCACTGCCGTAGCTGGTTGATGAGATACACATTCACCTTCGGGAGTACCTTCTTCAGAGAAAGTTAGTATGAAAACGCAGCCTGTATGTGTTGGTTTCAATCTGGCGATATCCAGCTTCCTGACAGATAGCACTGGGAAGATGATTGCTTTTGCTTCTTGAGCACCTGCCTAGGAAAACAGAAGTCCCATATAGGATTATAATCTCGGGAGGCAGTTGGGAAAGCAAGTTGAAAGGGGAGGGGAGGTGGGAGAGGAGAGGCTTGCTCCCCTTTTCTCCATTACAACTTTCAGGTCACTTAAGGTAATATTATCTTGTATATATGCTGCCTCATTAAACACACATTTACTAACAAGTATATAACTGCCAGCTTTTTTGGATCACATTCCTGACAGAGCACGGTGTCACTGTGACTTCTTGCAGCTTGGTTATGTGGATTGCTGGTATTTTACTAGCTCACTTCAGGAGCAGTTTGCAGCTCTTGCAACTTGTTTTTAATTTAGTGTAGGGAAGGTGGGGGTTAATATAGGCTCTCTTTTCATTATCATGTTAAGCAGTCTGTAATATGGGTATAGTACCGTGTTGGTTTAAAAAAATAATAATGCAGCATTACAGAAACATTTTATTACGTTACAATTCATGTTGCTGAAGTAGCCACGGTATTGTTGAATGCTTGATAATATTTGCGTCAGTTAATTCGGTGGTAGAATTAGACTGGATGAGCATGGAAGCTGAACATCTGTCCTGCTTCTGGAAATCTCTTTTACATGTCACTGCTGCTGTGTAATAGTACTGCAGAGTTGAAAAGCTTGCACTGCTGTTGCTGTGTGCGCTGTGTCTGGCTTTTTTTGAGATCCTGAACTGTCAGGATGCCACTAGCAACACGTGCTGCTAGCAGAAACAATCCATGGAAAGCAGAAACGTGTTAATAATACCCTACGGGTTATAGAACCATACTTGTTCAGTCTTACCTGTTTTCAGAGAATGTGATCCTAGTAATGAGAGTGATGGAGGAAAGTGTTTGGTTTTTTTCTTAACAGCAGCTTAAGTCTAGATCCTTGTTTCAGAAATTGGTCTTCAGCAGTGACGGCTGAATGTAATTCCTATGCACTGTCTTTGGCACATTCAAGTTGCGTTTTGCAATAGGTCAGGAAGTGATAAAATTCCTTGAATTTGAGAATTTGTTGTTTTAACTTAGAGCATCCTAAGACTTGGGTATCCATGCAATCTTTGGTATAGTGGAGCATGCATTATAGTATGAAAGGCTTTGGCTGTTCAGTGGTTTGTTTGGGATAATTTCTCCCTCTGATACGTTTTCAAACCTCAGCTATCTAGCAAATAGATTCTTCTTGTTTTTTATAGCGTACATTTTAACCGCAGTGAAGGCTGCTTACGTGCGTATCTTCTTTTACGCAGCTTTTCAAAATGCAGTGAGATGCATTAATGTCAGATTCCCTCATGACTTCAACTTTCATGCGAGAACTTCTGCAGGTTGAGACCGGGTGAAAGAGCTAGCCTAGCGCATCGACGCGGTTTCTCAGGTGAGCACAGGCGCAGAGTTCTGATCCACTTCTGTAGCATTTTTCTAGTGCTGAGGTCAGAACCTACAGTTCTGACAGGCTACCCACGGTTTATTCATATATCTTTTAGTTACCTTTTGCTACTGTTTTATAGCATTTTTGTATGTACTCATGTTTTACTATACAATTTAACCTCTTCCATTTTTAATGCATATTTGTTTACAAGACACATCTCAGTGTTGTATCAAGAGGCTATCTTGGTATTGTCAGCTATGAAAATAAACTACATCGGTAGTTAAGGAACATTGTCAAAGTTGACAGGTATTTTAAAACTTGATGTTTGAGTTTTGAGTGTCCATAACAATTTTGTTCTGTTTCGTTCCGTAGTTCTCCCGTGTAAGAAATACGCGTACCTTCTGGCCTCTGAGGTCATGGGTATGGATAGTTTATTTTGTCTTAATAATCATGGAGCACGGTATTGCAAACAAACAGCCCGAGCCCCACAGGATCACACTCGGCGGATAAGTTGAAAATCCATTAGAATTGCAATCATGTCGCTTAGAAGCTATTCGGGATGTTTTAATAAGGTGTAGTATGTCTTGCCTAAACAGGAATTTTTATGGTTTGATTTGAATTTAATTAAACAGTAATTGGCAATGGCCTGCTGTTTAGTCTGAACAGCATTAGCAAATCTGCTTAATGTGGAAGCCTTTGGCTATTGCCATCAAGTTGAGTGGTGGTTAATATGTGACATCCTAAAGTTGATCTGCTGAAATCAGAGGCTGTCAGATGGAGATTAAAAGATAAAACGCAGTGACAGTTGTTTTACACAGTCCTTCAGGGCTATTACTGCAAAAGGCTTTGTCTTGGATCAACATCTGTGGACACGGCATTCCACTTTGTTTGAGCGACTAGTACTGACCGTGTAGGAGCCCTTCGTAAAAGCTGATTCTGGACAGAGAAGAATTTTTGAAAATAGAACCAAATCTTTTCTCCATGGCCTGCTTTTAGTCGTAAGGGTATAATACAGGAGCTAGAAAGCTGCAGTAATGGCAGTGCTGCCATATTTCTGCAATCTGTGTTTATCATCAAGAGACTTTCTGTTGAAATTTCCTGGCTGTCTCGGTGCCATCTGAAGCAGAAAGGTTAAGCTTTGGTTTTGGGTGTCTAGTGGATCTTGAACTGAGGAATATTAGTCTTGCCTTTGTACAAAGAACAAACAAAAATAAGGGAGAATATGTTCACTGCAGAACGTTGATTCTTTTTGGAGGATGCGGCTTTGCTGACTCTAACCATGCTTTGCAAAAAAAAAAAAAAACGTGACCTGCAAGGTAAGAAAGCTGGGCAGGGCCCAATGTTTCTTCGTGAATGTGTATGCTAATGTATTTCCCTTTTGGGGCAGCAAGATGTCCGCTTCATATAAAGTATTCTACAAAAAAAAGTAAAACTGACGAGAATTTATTTTTGTTTACCCCCTCCCAAAGAATGTAGTAGACGACTTTGACTGTGGAGCTATTCCAGACATCTGATAAAAAGCATACTTTGAGAGCCAAAAACTTGTTTTTAGATGCATCGTTGAACTGCGACTGGAATAGCTCTCCTCATGTGAACGTACCTGTGTGCACGTGCGCGCTGCCTGGTGTGTTCATTACGCAGTCTGGCTTCCAGATTTGTATAAGTAACGCTTACCGTGTACGCTCGGAGCAAATACTGCACTGTGCAGTTGCCACTTTTACATGTTTTGCACATGCTGGTGAGGTTTTTTTGGGGCTTTTCTTTTGTTTTTAGTCCTCAAATCAATTATACCACAGTGTGGACTAATTGGTTGCCAAAGGTTATTTTTTAAATGCATCTTTGACATTGTTGTATGCCACATCTTCTAAAAAAAAAGTGTCTTAAATGTGTCTTTGAATAGTTTTATGTTCACGGAACAAAAGTTTGGACTTCTTTTTTACTTAAAACACTTGCTTCTCTGTTGAGACCATGCATTGCAGAAGGTTTTCATCTCAAAGTAGGGTTTTTGGCAGGGGGTGTAACAGGATAATTATGAACCTTCGGAAAACAGGGGTCTTTTAATGGAGACACTGAATGAACTGTAAGCAGCGCACACAGTAAGGAGAGGGGAGGAGAGGTTGGAAGGCGTTGTGTTTGGAGCCCATTTCAGTCCTTGAGCAGTACATGCAGCAGTGCTGTACTAATAACTGGAAGCTGTTGTTTTTGATTTATTTTTTCGTTGTTTGGGGTTATTTTTTTTTCCTTTTTTTCTCTTTTGAACACAGGAAGGCTTTGAGGATGGCCTCTGCATGGTTCCTAGTGTGTGCTGTGTGCTGGGGGGGGGGTTTACAATACCTGGGTTTGCTCTAGGCTCCTTGAGATGTGTTGTGATTTTTTTGGCTAGCATGTCTTAAATCTTCAGGCTTTGAAACTGCTTTATAGAATTGTGTTGACTTTTTGTTCTGCTGTTGTTCAGTTGCACAGAGTTTTATATATATGATGTACTAGTTTTTAACGTTGATTCTCTGTGAACAGGGTTGAGATTATTCATTGTAGTTTAAAAAAAAAAAAGTTGTATTCTAAAACTCCCTTTTAAAAATCTTGTTTGTATTCTGTTGCAGTGTTACCAGATGGCCTTATGTACGTCACAGTGTTTTGTGATAAGTACAGTAGCACATTTAATGCTTATCTCCCCCCCCCCCCCCCCCGTTTTATTCTAT